CCTCTGTCTTTCTGTGGGCCTGCTTAAGCAAATAAGTCTTAAATTTGCCGGGGGTGGAGGTGGTGTTAGGATGTTTCATTGCAGCCTTAAACCTAAGTCATGTGATTTGATTCAGTCTTTTGGCAGAACTCTGCTTTAGAGGTTATTGGGTGTGCTAGCTCAGCTATAATTAAAAAGATCTTTTGGTTCATCTCCTAATTTTTCTTGTTTATAGTTCCCTTGGGAATCCCAAGGAGCAGAGAGATGATTAATAGTGCAAGATTGGCAATTTCTGGTCTTCAATTACAGCAAATTGTAGTACTGGTCAGAGTTTCTCACAAATTTTTGCTGTCCCTCTCAGGGAAGAATTATGCTTTTTTACCCCATTGACACTGGGCTTGGCCAGGTGTTCTTGTTCTAGCGAAGAAATATGAGCAGATTAATACACATAAGTTCCAGGCCTGGGATGTGGTTTGCTAGGATCATTTTTCTTCTGCCAGAAGAGGTCAAGATTGTTCCAAATACAGATTACTCATCAGCCTGGGGCCTGTGGTGAAGACAACCTATCCTGGTAGACAACCTACCAGACAAACTGTCCTGGCATTGATGTGTATGCTATTTTGAGAAGAAGAAAGAAAAAACTTCCTTGTTGTAAGCCACCTTGGGAATCACTTGTTACCATAGCTGAACCTAGCTTATCTTGACTGATACATTTACTATACTGTCATCTGTATCAAACATCATTGTTTATCTCCCAATGTCTAGTCTGTCTTCATTCTTTCCAATGTTACTCTCATATTCCACCCACCTCTTCATGCTTAGGGAGGGAAGTCCAATTTCTGCCCACACAGGTGAATTTTAATAAAGTTAAGCCATTCGTGATAGTTTCTTACTCTTGCCAGTATGAAGCTGAAGTTCTCTGAAGAAAGTGAGTTTGTATAAAGATTGTGCAAGGCTGGGGATTTAGCTCAGTGGTTCTGCCACCTGCCTCACAAGCACAATGGCGAGTTCGATCCCTGGTACCAAAAAAAGAAAAAAGATTGTGCAGACTGATCTCAGTACAGCAGAATATTGTGATTTTGGAGAAATGCAATATTGCACGTTGAGAACCAAAATGATCTTGGGCTATTTTAAGCCTTTTAGAAAAATAGCCATTTACTTTGAACCTTTGTCTCTGTCCTAAAATCCTTGTGATTATTAGATAAATCTGTAGGGACACATTACTAAGTTTAGTAGACTTTTTCCATTAACCCGATAGCTAAGAATGCTATAAAATAAGAGCTGAAACCTGTAAAAGTGATTTCCCCATTTTGCTGTAGCCAGTCTACCTAATGGCCCAGAAACATTTTTGTTAAATGTATTGATTTACGACCTTTGTAACTATAAAAGTTCATACAGCCTCTTCCGTACAGAATATGTCTTTTAAACTAACTTGAGTCCATGTTCTTGGGCCTTGGACCACTCATATTTGGCTCAGAATAAACAATTTTCCTATTTTTTTCAAAGCAGAGTTGTTATTTTATGTCAACACTAGTGACAGCGAGTATGTGAGACTGTAAGAAGTTCACTTCAGGGATTCTGAGAAAGGTTTTCCTTGCTGACAGAGACACATAGGAATAAGAGTCTGTAGTTCTATTGGATATTGAGTGTGCATGTCAGCTGGCATTTTGGCAGCCATTTTGTATTATGAGGACACTATCCTGAAGATATTGGAATGAAAAGATAGCAAAATTTGTTTTTGTTTGTGGTGCTGGGGATTGAACACAGGGTCCCACGCATGCCAGGCAAGTGCTCTACCACTGAGCTACTTCACCCCCCCCATTTATTTATTTTCAGAAAGGATCCTGTGTGACCTGTGTTTTCTTTAGCTAACGTTTGTTCTGGGAGAATGGCTGCAAAAGAGTCATAAAGTCTTCAGCTGCAGTTTTGTCTTGCTATCAGAGGCACCACAATATCACTGACCATTGAGATCTGAATTGTGACCATTGGCACAGGGAGTTGTTTCCTTATGCCAGCCAAAGGCTCATCTAGCAAGTCATGTAGGCCTAAGACAGATTCATAATTTAATCAATGGTTAACCCATAAACCAATTCAATAATATTTTATAGCCTGCCCAGTGCAGTTTCAAGCTAGTCTCCTGTATCTTCCCACTAAGTTCCACCACTTAAAGGTTCCCCCACTTCTCAATAGTGCCACAGATTAGCAACCTAGCCCCAACGCATGGTCCTTTGGAGGACACTGAGCCAAACCATAGCATAATTTATCTTAGAAAATAATCCTACACCTGGGAAAGATATCTCGATCTTTGAGGAATTTTGGTGATACAAGAAAACGTTACACACATACAAGAGTAGTCATTTCCTAAGTGGATATGCTTCTGTCTTACCTATGAACAGATCCTAGAAAAAAAGGGGACCAGACAAGTGATAGAAACTGTTTAGTGAGAGGAGCAAAGAGTTCAGAAGGCAGTGGTTACAACATCAGGGTCCTCAGAGACTCCTCTCCTCAAGCCCAAGTCTGAGGAAGTTGGCAGACATTTGCATATGACTTAAACATTAGTCTAGTAGGGATGGCTTTGAAAATGGATTATAAACAACTTCTAAATTTATTGACTCATGAACATCTTTTAGTAAATTAACATTCCAGCAAACTATGGGTCTCATCCTCTTATATTAGATGGACAAAAGGAAAATGTGTGTGAGGTTCTTTGAAACAGTCACACCTATACTAAAAATCCTGCAGACTGCTTAACCTTGGCTGAGTAGAACATTGTGGTTGTGGGAGATGGAATGCTGTAGGTTGAAAGCCTAGATTTTCTTGGGCTATCTTAGGCCTTTTAATAGCTATTTATTTGTAACTTCTGTATCTGGCAAAACTTTTGGAATATATTGCTAAGATTAGGACCTGTAGCCTCTATCAACCCTAAAGTCAAGAATACTGTAAGACAGCATCTGAAATTTATAGAAGTTTCCTGCTGTGCTGTACCCTGCCTACCTAATGTCCTACCAATGTATTTAATGAATATATTGATTCACAACTTTCTTTGTTCTGTGGCTGTAAAAGTTCATGTAACCTCTTTCATAGTGGAACATGTCATCTGAGGTAATTTGAATCCATGTTTTAGGGCCACAGTGACTCCTATTTGGCCGAGAATAAACAATTTTCTTACTTTCCTTAAAGTAGAGTAATTATTTTATGTTGACATGTATGGCAAATTGACAGTGGAAACCCAGCAAAGCTGGTTCAGATCCTTCTTGGACCACAAGTGTGTAGCATTCCTTTCAAACAGGTCTGGGACAGGACCTCTTCTGGAATGAGGATCATAGGAGCTGTTATCAGAAAGATAGGTCACAGAATTTCTTCAGGATCATCTCCTATACAGGAAGGAGGAAGAAGGTTGGGGTAATATTTCTAGGCTTTAAAACTGGCTTTAGGAAAGAGTAGTTCTAGTTTCTATAACCTGACTTGGGGAAGATGTATTCTGGTTTCTATGGCCCATTTAGGAGAACAACAGGGGACAAGATTAAAAAGAGTAGCTGAATGTCTGAGATTGCTTCTGAGGCCTGCTTTCAAAGTACTCAGTATGTCAAAACATCCTATTTTGGAGTATTGTTTTCTGAGCTCCAATAATACCCTATAGGTGATTCTGTGGAAGCCTTGTAGAAATCAGAGTAAACAAAATAGATTCCACGGAACACGGAGGAAACAGTCAATGTGTAAAACAGAGCCTCTAGTGTCCAAGTAGATTTGTGGTAAGAATGCAGTTGTGAAAATTACTAACCTATAATGCACTAGGTTACTGTTACTTTGAGAAATACATGCAGGGCCTGCAAGGAGGTGTATTTTGTAACACAAAAGATTGCTCAGAAAAAGTTAATTTTTGAAATGTCATTTATAAAGAACTTTTCCAGTGCTCGCTTCGGCAGCACATATACTAAAATATAAAGAACTTTCCCAAAGGCACATCTTTAATGGGCAAATGCATACATCTACATGTTTAGATGTTTACCTTCCCTGAGACATCTCATTTCCAGTTCTCATTGCTGGGCCTACCTTTAAATTATGAAATTACGAGAGAGAGATTTTAATGAGCTGGAAAAGCAAATGCAATCTTTAAAGGTGGCTAACTTCAGTCCTACAATTATTTAGAAAGGAAAAGTTGACTTCAAATACTGTTGTTTGCAGGCAGGATCTGCAGCTGGCTAGAACATACAAGGATGCTGTTGAAGATGACTCAGTTGTATGGCCTGGAGAAATGAGACAGGGGAGTGAGAGAGAGAGAGAGAGAGAGAGAGAGAGAGACAAACCACTGGTCCGGCTTAAACGAAAAGGGGGCTTAAACTTGTTTTTATGACACAGAGGTTGTGAAGGCCTAGAGCTGGTGCAAATCAGGAGAGGGTGTCCAGTGTAAGAAAATCTGAGACTCAGAAAAATGCACCTTCTGAACCAGAGGCTGCTAAACTCAACTTCCCTTACCTCACATCCCCGCCATTAGGCCACATGGGGGCGAAATGTCTTCTAAGGGTCCGACTGGGGACCGAGCCGTATGACCTTCGTCAGGCCTCGGAGTCTCCTCTGGGAAGTCCCACGGCCCTCCCGAGGCTCTGCGGGCAGTCGCCAGCGCCCCCAACCCTGAGCGCTCGGGACGCCTTAGAGCGCCCCGCCGCCCACTACGCATCGCCAGCCGGACCCCGACAGCCTATCCGCCGTACTGGGCCGCCGCCCAGGCCCCTCCCGCTCCCCCCGCGCCAGCCAGCCGCAGGGTCCAGCCCGGGTAGGGATGCGGCTCCCCGGCTCAACCTGGCCCAGGGCTCCGCCCGGCCTCGCCGCAGGCCCGACCCCGCCCTCCCGGGCGCTGCCCGCCGCCCTCCGGGCACCTCTGCAGCCTGCCGAGCGGCCGGCCCAGGCCCACCGCCGCTGCTGATTGGCTGGGCGGCCAGCGGCGGCGCGGAGCGGCCGGGCAGAGCGCTGGGTCAGGGCTGCAGAGGCGCTTGGCGCACTGGCGGGAGCGGAGGCGCGGCGCGCGCGCCCCGGACGCCGGTCCTGCGGAGAGAGCGGCCCGGGGCGCCGAGGGTCCGCACCGCGCGGGGGGGCTGCCGCCGTGGCCGCCATGTGCTCCCAGATCTGGTTCCTAACGGACCGGCGCCTCAGCGAGGATTACCCGCAGGTGCAGATTCTGCGCGCCCTCCGGCAGCGCTGCTCCGAGCAGGACGTGCGCTTCCTGGCGGTGTTCATGGACCAGCTTGCCGTCACAGTCATCGGCGGCCACCTCGGTGAGCGAGGCGGGCCCCGGGAGGGCGGGGAGCGCGCCGGGGTGCCCCAGGGCCTCCCCCAACCGAGTCTCCTTCGGCCCCGCGAGCCAACTGGCAAGCCGCCCTTCACCTGGGGTTGGAGAAAGCCCCTCACCTTGATGGCCTGTTTTAATCACCACCGTCTACCCTGAGGCTAGATTTCAGGATGTGATTTATTTATTTACTTAGGGGACTTTATGTTGTGAGAAACCCAGTTCACCTGACGCCTCCCAGGGGTCCAAAGAAAATGAAGCTGCAAACACCAAATTTGCACATACTACTTGCGTGGATACCTCATTTTAGACCCTGAAATTTAAGAAACACGTTAAATGTACAAAATTGCTTTTAGAATGGCTGTTTTGAAAACTTTTCCAGCACTGTGTATGTGTCAGTGGTGCTCTACAATGAATATTATTCCCAAACTCAGACCCTACATATGGGAGAAATATGAAAAAGATGAGACTGCAAAGTGCGAGAGACCTTTGATAAGTTTTCTTTAACTCATCCTCCTTAAAAGTGTTGAATTCTGATTCCAGAAAAGCCAAGGTTTCAGGTACACATTGTTCTGACCTTACTGATCACTCCACTGCTATATCCAAGAGGTTTTCGGGTGTAAGACATGGTTATCATCTGTGACCCTGACCTCAAAAGGTTAAGTATGTTTTCAGATATTCTGAATTATCCTTAATGCTATCCTTCTCTGATTTAGGAATCTGAGGAACTTAGGAACCTCCCACTCAATGGTTTGCTAGTTGTCTCCAGTGCTCTGCTACAGGCTTCAGAGGGTCCAGGACTCCAGGAGAGTCCCAGTTGGTCCCAGTTCAGGGTGCTTGTTGGAATATTGTCCACATTATCTCAGCCACATCTGTTTAAATAGGCACATACAGTACTTTTCTTTGACAAGGAAAGGGATTCCAAATTCTGAACAGAGTACTTACACGAAAGATTGTGAGTGAATATTATCTAAGTGGAATATGTATGTTGTAGACCTTTTATCCGTATGTTTATCTAAGCCATGTGTAATGTTAGATTGTGTATCTTGTTGGAGAAATGTTCAGCAAACATCCGGTGCCTTACGTTCCAGCTAAAGCAGTGTCTTTCAAATGTAAGGTGTATGTACCTTCCGTCTATCCTTGATTTGCTAAAACTCTCATGATTCGAATGCAGAACTAGATTCCTGAACAAGCAATCTGCAAACCTGGATACTTATTACAGTTCTGCTGTTAACAAGTATCTTGGGTTTGTTTTGGGCAAGTCACTTGGTCCTTGAATTTCAAGTTTCTCATTCATGGAACTAAGGGTTGAGGTTCCTCCAGCTTGAAAATTCTGTATTTTGGTACTATATTTAAATTGGGATAATCTTCTAGTTTGCTAATAGGTTACATCTTTGCACCCCCAAGGATGAGTTTGCTTATTTTTATTTTACAACTTGTAAAGATGCCTTTTTTTGAGGTATAGTTACCAGAATTTCACATCATATTTATTTTGCAGACTCATCACAAATTCCATAAAAGTAGGAAGATGCTCTCTATATTTAAGACTTCTTGAAGAATCAATCTTAGAAAAAGTGAAAATTAAATTCTAGTGCTTCAGAAAACATTTAAACCCTTCTAAGTGTCTTAAAATTTAATGAAATTTAAAACAAAAATTTAATGAAATTAAAGTGTGAAAGTATTTCGACCTATCCACAAAGCAGGAATTCCTTCTTTTTAACAAGAAAGTCTACACAGTTATTTGCTTGGTCAATGGAGAAATTAAAGATAAGCATTTTTGATGCGGTCTTCAGTGTTTATTAATTCTGAGGTAGCAGTGCACAAATCACAGCACATAAGACAAACCTTTGAGGTTATCATTTCCCATGCAATAAATATTTTTTGAATGAATGAAGAGATGATCTCCATTTCCCAGTTTTTTCTATAATCACTATAGAATACCCTAGACAATGTGCCAAGCCATGATTCCCCTGAAAAAATTCATAGGTTTTCTAATATAGAAATGTATATTTATAGTGAAATTGATGCTGTTTCCCACTTGAGAATTATAGAACATGAGCCCTGAGAAAGACTTTGAGATGATCCACTCTAATTCATTTATTTTATAAAGATTTCAGGCTCAAAGGGATGAAGTAATTTCCTCAGCGTCATCCAACATCCAACTGGTTAATAGTTATGCTGTCAACTTTCCATTGCCTGGACAAAATAGCCAACATACACGTTTCCTTAAAGGAAGAAATACTTATTTTTGACTCATAATTCAGAGGTTTCCATCCATGGTTGGCTGGTTCCAAGGTAAAAACATCATGGTGGAAGGGCATGACAGAGCAAAGCTGCTTAGCTTAGGGCAGCAAGGGAGCAGAGAACAGAGGAGGAACCAGAGAATGAGTCCTCAAAATCACACCCCCATGATCCACCCAGTCACACTCAGAAATGTGCTTTATTCTAGGTGTGTCTCAAGACAATAAAGTGACAATCAAAACATCCCAGTAGTTTAAAAATCTGATCTTGTGCTGGGGGTATATAGCCCTGGGGTCAATCCTCAGCACTGCAAAGCAAAGCACCCCAAACATTGATCTGGAATTCCCAGTCCACTAATAGGAAATGAGTATGCTTTAGATATCTGCAGTCTGTAGTGTCTTTCTCAGTAGATGCGGAATTGAACTGAATTGAATTAAATTGAATTAAGACACTAACTTTGCAAAGGAATTTTATAGTTTAGGAAATCAAGGTACCACTGCTACAAAGCCTTTGTGGCTTTGCTCCTTTCACTTGCTTCTTTAGATTAATATAGGGGTATAATAAAGAAGTTGGTTTGGGGAAGGGACAGGTGGGCAGTAACCTCAGCCAACTGTTGATTTATCCAAGGATTTGAATTTCAGGTTGTACCTGGATATCTGGAAATAGAATTCTTCAGTCAAGAGATTAAAACTTTAAAATATAAAAATTACAAGTATTTTAAACGAGACTATATTTAAACTGAAAATGCTATCCACATACAAGGTTTCATGATTATTTTTAATGCAGTAACCTACTCTCCCTGGCATAAATTAGGAAGAAGGAATGACTCTCAGGGAACTGAAGCAATTCTGTAGAAAACATCCTCTCTTTACTTTCTACTGTGTGTAGCGTTATGGAAGTCATATCCATCTCTATTTCCTTTTTAGAAATTGCAAATTCTTCATCATTCTTCAACAAATATGTATTAATTATGCTCAACCCTAGAGATAATGTGGCAAATTAATCAAAACACACATAATAATGGTCATAGCAAAATCTATATGGTACTCTGTGTCAGTCATAGGTCTAGGTTCTTTTTACATATTAACTTTTTGGTTTTTTCTTTTTTTTTGTTACTGGGGATCGAACTCGGTCCCTCTGCTTTCAAGGGAGGCAGCGGAACCACTGAGCTAAATCCCCGGCCCTACATATTAACTCTTATAAACACCAGTGGGGGTCACTGAGTACATAGCACTAGAGTTAGACCCAGCACTCAGTGACTCTGGTCTAAGCACTTAATGTCTCATCCCTTCTATTCTATCTCATGCATCAGCCTATACTGACTTCACCATGTTACTCTTTGACTCCTGGCCTTGCACTAAAATCCCTCTAGTTGTGATGCCCATTCTCTCCCACATGGTGAATTTTTATTCATCCTTCAAATCTAGCACAAGTCACTCATCTCTATAAAGTCTTTCTTGAACTCTCTGTCCCTAATTAGTCACTCTCTTCCAACTGCTGACAAATAACATTGTCTATACCTTTGAAAATAGCACTTGTCATTTTTTGGTAATTTATCAATTTACAAGGCGTATATACCTTCTGTCCTCGAATAACTAGGGATTCCTCAAATGTATGCTCCATAACTGCTACATAGACCTTCATTTATTGTTTGTTGAATGACTGAGTAAAGTGCCCTAAAGGCTAATTTGAAGTCTTTTATTGTATTTAGCCTCTGTGTTTGGGAGATCTTGATTGAATATGTGAATATTTTTGTGATGAGCCATTAAATGAGGACAGATTTAGTAGAGAGAATTAAATTCTTTGACTACTCCAGGTCTGAATCATTAACTGGTTCCAGAAAGTAGTCACAAACTCAGGGACAGATAGCAAAACAAATGAAATGAGTATGAGCTGGACAATGAGACTGTGTTGTAGTTGGTCTCTGAGGAGCAGAATGATTCAGCATTCTTTCTCTTACTTCCAGAGCAAAAACCTTGGTGACCATATGGCAAATTTCTATCATTATTATTATGTTATTATTATTATTTTAGTGCTGAGGATCAAACCTAGAGCCTCAGATATGCTAGACAAGCACTCTACCCCTGAACTACATCCCCGGCCCCATATGGAAATTTCTAGGTCAGACTCTTTAAATCAATGTTCTAGGATCCTTGTGCTTGGTTCCTTGTAGCAATTAAGTAACATTTAAGAGAGTTGCTCACCACTCTGCCTTCTTCCTGGAAGTCTCCAGATTGAAGAGAGTTGGAGAGAGGAATCGGTATGAAAAGATACCTTACATCTGCCTGCCAGAAGACAATGGAAAGCCTTGGAGACAGAGCATAGACTCCATCTTGGTGCAAGAAGACGCTAGCAAGAAAGGGTACCATGCTGTGTTAATCAGCTTTCCATTGTTGTGACAAAATACCCGAAAAAATCAACATAAAGGAAGAAAGATTTTATTTGGTGGAGGAAAGATGTTGACCTCATGGTGAGCAGGAAGCAGAGAAAGAGGGTGAGAGAAGTCCTCCAAAAGCATGTTCCCGTTGACCTCTTCCAACTAGACCCTGTCTCCTAAAGTTCTGACCACCTCTCAGTAGTACCACAAGCTGGGGACCAAGCCTTCAGCACGTGAACCTTGGGAGGCATTGCAGATCCAAACTGTAACACATAATAACTGTTGTGCACAGAGCTAGCCAGTGGTGGTGAACCTATAGCACATGTGCCACAGCAGGGTGTTTGTTATCATTGAAAGCTCTAAAAGGCTTG